ATGTGGTATTCAACAAAAAATTACTATACAGAGATCTGAAAACAGATGAGATGCAAACACCAGTCAGTGACCAGACTAGGAACTCAGAAAATGAACAGGTAAAATTGACTGTGGTGAAGGAGCCCTCACAGTCTCAACCAAATGCAGTTCAAGGTGGAGCTTATGTGGATAACAGAGGTTTGAATACAGATAAGGTAAGAGAATTGGAGCAAGAAATGAGTGATTCTACATCAGAAACCTCTCACGATGAAGAACAAACTCGGACAGTATTCAGAAACACAGGTGATCAATCAGATGAGGATAAATCAATGAATCATCAAGGTTTAAGTGACTATCTGGCTAGAGATAGGAGCAGGTGACACATTGTTCCCCCAGCTAGATATTCAGAAGCAAGTATAGTAGCATTTGCTCTGAATATTGCAGAAAACTTAGAGATAGATGAACCAAGAACAGTAAGTGAGGCAATGAGAAACAAATACTGGCGCAACTGGAAAGAAACAATGGACGAGGAGATGCAGTCCCTGATCGAAAATGAGACCTAGAGTTTGGTTAAACCAACTGAACGAAGAAGAACAGTAGGATGCAAATGGATCTTTAAACGGAAATCATGCATACCTGGAGTGGAAAAACCAAGGTTCAAAGCTAGGCTAGTTGCAAAGGGATATTCACAAGTTATGGTCTGAATATCACGAAGTTTTCTCACCAGTAGTGAAGCATGTCTCCATAAGAATACTGTTGGCTCTGACAAATTTTCAAGACCTAGAGCTAGAACAGTTAGATATAAAAACAGCTTTTCTTCACGGCAAGCTAGAGGAGAAAATACTGATGAATCAATCCGAAGGCTATGAAGAAAAGGGGAAAGAGGACCATGTATGTCTGCTACAGAGGTCTCTCTACGGATTAAAACAATCGACAAGGCTCTGGAATAAAAGGTTTGATGAGTTTATGCTGAAACAAGGTTTTGGTATAAGCAAGTATGATACATGTGTTTACTTCAAGAAACTAAAAAGCATAGAGTGTATATACTTGTTACTATATGTTGATGACATGCTACTGGCATCAAGGAGTAGATAGGAAATTCAGAAACTGAATGAGCTGTTGAGCAGAAAATTTGAAACGTATTCTTGGAATGAATATTGACAGAAACAGAGAGCAAGGTACTTTGACACTATCTCAGACCAAGTATGTCAGGAAAGTTCTGAGTTCATTTGGGATGACAGATGCAAAAACTGTGAACACACCCATGGGAGCTTCAAGTTGAAAGCGGTTCAATAAGGTGCAGAATGCCTGGACAAGGATTCGGTTCCTTACTCAAATGCTATCGGGAGTTTAATGTACGCTATGATAGGCACTCGACCTAATTTAGCTTAAAGTATTGGACTCATTAGCCGTTTCATGAGCAAGCCAAGCCAAGAGCACTGGCAAGCTGTCAAATGGATTTTACGTTACCTGAAAGGAACGCAAGAGGTAAAACTAGTTTATCGAAGAAATACAGATTTCAAGGTAAATGGCTATCAGATTTTGACTACAGTCTATCGAAGGAGGTCAATCTCTCAATTTGTATTCACGGTAGGAGGATGTACAGTCAGTTGGAAATCAGGGCTTCAACATGTGGTAGCACTCTCCACTACAGAAGCGATCAAAGAAGTTGTATGGATGAAGGGACTGATAGAAGAATTGGGATTCGAACAGGGAAGTGTCAAAGTGCATTGTGACTCACAAAGCGCAATCTGTTTGGCAAAAAACAGTGTGTTTCATGAAAGAACGAAACACATAGATGTAAGGCTTCATTTTATCAGGGATATCATCAATCAAGGGCACATACAGGTTCTGAAAATTAGAACGGAACTGAATCCGGTGGATGTTTTCACTAAGGTGGTTCCTGTGAGTAAGTTCAATGATGCAATGGACTTACTTGGGGTAGCTGAAGAATAAGTTATGAAATCTCGGACCTGGACTATATGAGAAGAGAGATCAGACACGCAAAGGTGGAGTTTGTTGAAATGTTTCTCGTCAGATGAAGAAAATGGTGGATGACTAAAGCCCCTGACTCAATCAGAGTCTTTGAGCTTGAACAAATCCAAAACGCGGACGTTTCGGCAGAAACAAATATTCAAAACGGATTAACGGGCGAGGGCAAAAATGGGATTGCATATGTAACTGGTTATATAAACCAGATTTCGGTTTTGGGGTAGAAAACATAGTGTGTTCTTGATTTCCGCTATTAGAACTCGATTGAAGCTTGTCTTCTCTTTTATAACAACTCGATATAGTGAATTCCCGGTGAATCAGATCTGGGTGAGACGTACTGATCTCACATTGGGATCAAGAACTCATAAATTATGTGTGTATTCGTTTCATTCTTGTTCATCGTCTGTGTGAAATTCCGGCAAGTTTCGGTGAGGTTTACGGGTCGAAGAACAACAATTGAAAAACAAAAATCTTTTATTTTTTACGATTTTTCCTTTTCCTTTTCTGTTCATTAAAAGCCTGACAAAATGTTATAACTTGTACTAAAACCCGCACACACACACATATACATATATATATATATATATGGATAAATCCATGGAGAAATGTGCTGTAGTGTAACAATGACCCATTATTTCCCGACCCCTTTTCTCTCTGCACATTTTCATGCACTCTCTTAAAGTTGACAGTGAACTCACGTCTGGTGTTGTGTAGTGACCTATATTATATATATATATATATAACGTATGAGTGTGCACGTATATTGAGAGAAGGAGACACCTATCCATTTCAAAGGTATTCATAGTGGGTGGGTGAAGGAATTCCCCATCTTCACCGAAAGATTTGTTTCCAACCATTTTTTCCCCATTTGTAAAATAATCGATACCCATTTGAGATATACGACATATAAATTATAAGTTAATATGGAGAAAGAAAGGCCCCATGTCACATGGATTCTGATGGGAGAAAAAGAAAACGGAATATGAGCCAGAGATAAAGACACTCGAAAAAAATGGGTGAGTTGTATTCTATGAATGGGAATTGAGCATGCCACCATTATTTATATTTTAATTCGGAATATAGAGGTTGACCGGACCCATATAGTATCTAACCATGTTGTTTTGTTGCCGCACAACAGCAACAACCCTGTCCCGATAATACATCCATTTAGTGGATGAATGAGTCCTACAAGTAAAATAGTGACAATGGACTCAACTGTTCTCGTCACGCGTCTGTCTTCCCCACCAACTTTCTCTAATTATAAAGAAACCCCATGGCTTTTTACATCTATACATACATATATGCTTCTTCATTCAAAAAACCCGATGACATTTGCTCATAGATTTTAATATTTTAGCTACCCTTTGTAGTACACGTCATGCCACCTTGCCACATTGGTGATTAATTTGTTACTCTTTGCAGGATCATATTCATTGCCAACCAACTTTTTTTCTGATTCGCAGTTTTCATGTGATATATATATATAAACACATGTGTGTGCACATGCATGCTAATTAATTATCTTGTATAAAAAAAAAAACCCACTCGTACTTAACCCATTCAAAAAATATGAGCATACGCCGCACCAAGATCATTTGCTCGTAATCTATCTATTGTTTTTTGAACCCTCAGATAATGCACCCATGTAGACGCACGTGAATTTTCGGAAGAAAAAAAATCCTTTTAGGATTCCCGTGTGTATATGTGATATATGTATTTCTTCTTTATATGAATTAAAAAAAAGATACCAAATTGTGACAATGTCTATGAGATTAAGCTTACTATTTAAACAAAAGTAAACAAAGCTTAGTAGTTGATAAAATTTTTAGATTAAATTATGGTTCTAGAAATAATATTATTAACGCGAACCAAAAGTTTATGAGATATTAAATAAGATTGTGATAATAATAAATAAACATGGAGAAACGCAATTCGAGTTCATCCGAAACAATATAAGCGAAAAAACTATTACATGGGACATGAATGTGAGTACAATATTTAGTAAAACAAATAAGCAGAGAGAATATAAGGCTAATTAAGGGGAACAAAGCAGGTTTATTTAAGAGCAATACATGCAGATACGCGCGCGTGTGTGTGTATTCATCGGAATCAACAAAGGTGGGAAATTGCAGAAGCGATCCATAAACAATGAACAATCAAATTGTATTTTAGATATATATTTATAGTTTTTATAAAACTATCAAACGGAAATTGTAAATGATTGAAATGTTTAATTGTCCACACTAATAATATAGTTTGTGATAACAATATGTTTGTTGTAGACGGTGTAGGTTATAAAATAAAAACTTATAAATTCATAGATTAAATGATGATGCAATGGTTTATATTGGATTGATTTTGCGTTTTTTTTTTACGGAGGCATATTGACAAGTGGCAGCAGATAAGGCCCAAAACGTGGCAAAGCATCCCGTGAGAGGAACGAGCAGGCGTAGCGACAGAGAAAATATTACAAAGTAGAGAGAAGGGGGAAAGGACCAGCGCTGGGTACACCGTACCTTTCTCAACGGCCCCATCCTCCCTCGTCTTTCGTGTTCTGCCCTCAAGATTAGAATCCCCACTCTGGCCGTTCACACGTGCCATATGCGATGCCCGCGTAACTCTCTCACACGTGGGATTGCAGGTTTTGTCCTCTCTCACACGTGGCTCGTTCGCAGACCGTCGGTTTACTTTAATTACGGATTTACCCCGCAAGTTTCCGGAAAATTACGGGCTTGGCCCGACGGATAAGGCACTCGTTATTTGCAACGTCTCTCACAAAATATTTTTTCACCAATCAAGCTTTTTACGACACTGTAAAAAATATATTGTATTTAGTTATTGGGATCATCAATAAAAAAGAGTTGATACTTGGCAATAATGGCTCGCTGGTGTGTGTACACAGAGATGTATATGCAAGAATGGAAAGTGAATGAGAATCTAATCTAACTTACCAATGAATTTGGGTGGGAATAAATCAGAAACTGGCGTTTTACCATAAAAGCAAAGAGAGCACAGATAAATTGTGAGTTTGACCGTGATCTCAGCCAAGAGTTACAGCGGTCGTTGTCGAAATTTTCACATCTTACCAAAAAAGCTGAGGTAAGTTTTTTAATGGCCAGTCGGTTACCGAAGAATCCTAATACACAGAAACAGTAAAGAAAAAAACAACTCTCTCTCTCTCTCTTCTATAAGTTTGCAGACAGCGGCTCTGTTTTGGTTTTTGTTCTTAGCGCTCGCTCTCTCGTGAAACCGAACCCTAATTAAAAAAAAAACCCACATCGCGTCTCCTTCATTTTGCGTTGCAACCCCAAGCACAGCCAGTAAATACCCCCCTCAGAAATATCGCCCAAACCCAATTCAGCGATAACAAGAGATGGCCGTTGATGCTCACCGTCTGTCTCCCATCCTCTCTTCGCAGTTCTTACCCACCAGGTTTTGCTTTCTTACCCTTTTTTTTTAATCCTCTTCTTCAGTGGGATCTTTGGTCTGAATACATGTATTTTTTCTGATGATTTCCAGGGAAATATTGAATCCCCCCGAAACATACGATCCCATTTACGGTACTCAGATGAGATACAGCACCGTTCCATTGTTGAGATCGACGTCGGCGACTGGCGAAACCGCTCCTTCGAATCCGATGTGTAATATAGCGGCAACAACGACAATACCCGCCCCGAATTATTTGATTCCTCACGCCCTGAAACCGGTGATTCAATCTGTCACTTTTAACGACGGGAGTAAGAGTAACGGCGAACATATTCTTCCCGTACCGTCGTCTGTGAGGAAACGGCCGAGAGAGGATTCCGTCATCGTCAACCCGCCTCGATCTTCTTACCTGCAGCGCCAGAAACCTTGCAGCCATCCTATCATGTTCCTCGGACACGACATGTCCCTTAACGTCCAACAGCAGCAGCTCGACGTCGATCGCTTAATTTCCCATCATGTAAGGAAAGTCGTCACCTTTCTCAAAACCCTGAATCCTAAGATTGCCCGTGCTAATGGGAAGCGTTTTACAGATGGAAAGGATGAGAATGGAGATGGAAGAGAAGAGAAAAAGGCAAGGGAGGAGGATGACGGAGGCTATAGAAAATGGGCTGATGAGGAAACTCAAAGTCAAAGACGAAGAGATAGAGAAAATGGGGAAGATGAACGCGTTTCTGGAAGAGAAGGTGCGATCACTCTGTATAGAGAACCAGATATGGCGGGAGTTGGCAGAGTCCAACGAAGCAACAGCAAACGCGCTGCGGGCAAACCTCCAGGAGGTACTAAACGCCGTCGAGAGAAGAGAAGGGGACGAGCAGTCGAGCTGCGGCAGCGGCGGAGGAGTGGAGGAGAAGAAGGCGTGCAGGTGCTGTGGAGAAGGTGAAGCCTCTGTCTTGCTGTTGCCTTGTAGGCACATGTGTCTCTGCGCTCTCTGCGCTTCTTCTCTTACCACTTGTCCAATCTGTCATTCTTCTAAAAACGCCACTCTCCATGTCAACTTCTCATCATCTTGAACCCTATATTATACACAAATATGGTGGATATATGTATATATAAACGCTTCTTATCTATTGGGTCTATTGGTGGTGAGTATAACCTTGACATAGTAATAGATCTAAGATCTTTGGAGACGGTGTTCATCTGCCGATGGTAATTGATTCCATGTTAAAATTGTAAAACTGCAATCTCCCGTTGTCTACCCGAAGAAGTAAACAAAAGGGGTTACTGTCTGGTTTTTTTCCAAAATCAATGAATGGGTCCCAGTCCCTCAGAAAAGAAAACGCGCAGACGACAAAAAGAAGAGGCGGTGCAAGTTAGCCAAGGAAAAGCGCAAGATAGAGAGGGAGACGTGACTCTAGTAGCCGTTAGTTAGGCTGACACGTAGGAAATGTCGCTGTTCCCAACAGTAATATCTTTCCAATTTGCCCTTATCATTTGGATTTGTGAAAGTCAGAATCTCTTTTATACATATATGTAATACGTATGCCTTAGCATGGAATAATGGGAGAGAGAACGAACAAGTCCAACAAATGAACACAACGATGAACGTGGCGCGTGAATACCACGCTCGTATTTTTTAAAAACAAAACTCTTTTTTAAGTCATCAAAATGGATATATCCAAAAATTTGGGTGGTAAAAAAATATGTAAATTATGTTTTTAATTTGGGTTCAATCTAAACGTGAAGATATTCATCTGAATTTTTCATATTTTTTTACGAGATATAGTTAGACAAAAGATTTGATGAATTTTCGAATTATAAAAAAAATGGATATCAAATGTTTTGATTGCCCCATTCCTCCCCTCTTCTTCTTTAATTACTTTTGTACGTACATATTCTTTCCTTATTATCTCTCCCCTCTTCTTCTTTAATTACTTTTGTACGTACATATTCTTTCCTTATTATCTCTTTTGTTTTTCATTTTCTTTTCTTTTTTGTTTTGGGATGCCAAAGTTTTGTCTGCTTTGCTCTGCATTGGATATATATGATTTATTTACGGTCACACGACCATCATCATGTGACAACTTCTAGTTTATTGTTCAACATCATTTAATCCATCGAGGAAAAATAATATTATTGTATTCGTTGCATCTTTATTTAATTTATTAATGTTTATTTAAGGCCGTGTAACCAAGCGGAACCAACTAATGCACGTGATGTTGTTTGGGTTATGTTCTCTCTCTTATCCCTTTACCTGACGGAGAACACTAAAACCCGAGAGAGAGTTTGTCTAATCTCATATCGTCAGTCTTTATGTATTGTAGATAACGTTTGCAATTATTATTTGTTAGTATAAATTATGGACGTATCAGTATAATTGAATCATAGTTGTACTTTTATAATTATGTATATTTTAATTATTCTAAACGAAAACGGTATAAATTTAAATTGCTTTTGATCTGCAATTAAAAAATGCTGTTTAGTTTAATAGTTCACAATAATAATAATAATAATAATAATAATAATAAATATTAATATTTCAGATCATGGAGAGGAGGGGGGGAGGGGGACGCACGAAATGAAAGGAGATGTCGGGAGAAAAGAGGCCAGCCCATGACAAGATCTGTGGGTCCCACTAACCTATCGGCAGATAAATGGGTCACTTGTGGGCCCTTAGGGTAAGGCCGTTGTGGGGGGAACAACACGTGAATTTGGTTCCTCGCTTTTAAAACTCACCCGACAAATTTTTAAAAAATCCCATTCATTCACAAATATTCCTCTTCTTCTTCTTCTCCAATAATTTTTATATTAAAAGAATGATTTTGTCTGAGACGTGATGGTAGATTTCATATCAGCAATTGTCGTTATTAATTCAACGATTCCATTCCGGTAGTATGGTAAGGTACTCTATATATCCGTTTTCCATCAAAATATTTAGCTATATATAACTGTATACCTACATACATATATGTATATATATAAGAATGTTAACGAGTTATATTATCTGTTGTCCGCGTTTGCATTACATTAATATAAAACAAATTTCAAACATTACGTGTAACGAAATATTTGACTCTTAATTTATTTAGAGATATTTTTTCTAAAATGTTGGACCCAATAATGCATTTGGGAACCAACTTTTCATTTATTTTTATTTTTCAAAGCCTACAAACTAAGCGTATCAATGCATTGCAACGGTAGAAAAAGAAATCTTTAATTTTCTCAAGCATTATTACTAAATTATATAGCGAAAGCGAAATGAGAAGATGTGTAATTAAATTTAGATTTAATTGCATACACTACACGCCATATATATATATATATATGATGTCCAAGACAACGATGTATAAATATAAAAAGTCTCGAACTAATTCTCCGACCATCAATGCCTATGGTCCCTTCTCTAAATTTGTCCCATACCCTTTTCTGCTATGCCTTTAGTGATATCTATATGAATACATCAATTTCATTTTTGTATTTAGGAAAAAATATGCTAAATAAGAACGGTGACATTGTAAAAATGCAATTGGGTAAGCGAAATTTATTGAGAAGGAAGAAACTACATGAAAGAAATTGTTTCAAAAACTGTTCAAGATTCACGTGGGAGAAAATCTTTATGCGATGCGCTTGCATATAGCAACGCGATGAGACAAATACCAATATATTACCTATATATAATATGATCTAATTCAAAATGCAAATCGATGATAACATTTGAAAAAGGTATGCCAAGTGACACGCTGACTCTGAATTATTGATGCTGTTCTTTTGGATCAACGAAGACAAGAGCAAGTAAATGTGGACGCTGGAGAGAGTGACACGTGGCCCACATGGTCCACACACATACATATATGTGTGAAAACTGTCGATAGAAACAAAGAAGACGGGACAATCATTCCGTGTAAAGAAAGTGATGGGTACTGTTGGGCCGCACGGCCCAGCGGCTTGTTATGGCGGAAAAGGAACGCGGCCCAAATGAGCCGAGACACAGCGTTTTAGGCTAAGGGTTAATGAAACCCTAAGGATGGCGTGAATTTGACGACACGAGGGTGCGTGGCTCGAGGCAGAGAACATTCGAGAGAGAAGATGGAGAAGACGAAGGGAGATCGGAAGGAGGAGGTGCTTCCCGGCGACGGCGAAGCGCAGACCGACGGCAACTCGCCAAAGGCGAAGGTGGTAAGGGTCGGTAAGGTTCTTTCGTGCGATCCCTTGGGGATTTCTGGTCCTTTCTTGTTGGGGCGAGTCTCCGACTTGTGGAGCTCCGTCTCTCGGTTGTGTTTCCGTTCTCTAGTGGATTCGCCGGTACCATTCCGGCCGAGATGTAGGCCCGAGGAAACTCGGTAACCGAACTCGTTAAAAGTCTCCGGTGTCTTTCGATTCGAGCACGTACGAGTGTCGGAGTGGCCGTGAGGATTCTGATACCGACTTCACAAAGTGGTATCAGAGCTCCGGTTACGATCCAGGGAATATCGCCGGTCCGGCGAGGTAAGTTAGGTTTCGATTTTTCGAGTCGAGTCTGTGTGAGCGTCTTGATCTGTTTGTTGAGTGTTTTCAGTCGATCGGAGGGACGTATCGGTGACGGTGAGTAGCAGATCTAAGAGCCTCGGGTCACCGGCGACGAGATCTGTCGAGCTGAAGCCTCTGGGAGATAACGCGGCCAAGACTTGTTTCGGAATCGGAAACCAGGTGAGTCCTTCGACTCGGTTCTTTATTTTCCGCATTTTTTCTCCGATTTGAGTCCGAGTTTCAAAGGAAACTCGGTGAAACTCGGCGGAGAAAGTCCGATTCCGGCGAAACTCGGTCCGAACTCGTCCGAGTTAGGGCTGAGTGGAGGGATCGGGTGAGTCAACAACCGAGTTAACTCGGTTGACTCGGCGGTTTAGGGTTTCCGAAATTAGGGTTTCGAATTAAATCCGGTTTACACCGGTTTAATCGATCCAATTTCGGTTTAACCCGGTTTGGGT